TTTTTGCTCTACTGTGGTGCTGTCACAACACAAGTTTAAAGCTGTATGGTGAGCATCCTTCAGTTCTGTCACAGTGGTCCTCTCTGATTGTATGTAGAGCCTCACTTGAAGATTATTGGAGGTTTCATGATCACAAAGCTTAGCCACATGGCTCTTCTACCTATGCCAACTACTCTCTCCCTGTTCTCGTCCATCTTAACGTAGTTTTGCAGGATTAAGCTCTTTAGAGCCCAGGCATCATTATGTGATATTGCCATTCAACAGTCTTCAGGAGCCTACACATGAAGATACACATTCTTCCTTAATATTCTGTCCTAGCTGTTGTCTGTACTGTTCACTCCGTTCTGTACAGCAGTGAGCCTTTGAAATTTACCGTAGTGATCTTCACTGCAAAGAACTTCATGATTCTCTGGATTAGTGGCTACAGTCATAGGCTATGTCTACGTTGTCTTTCTTTATAAATGGGGTAGAATACCTCTTTCACAAGGTTTGTGAGGAGTCCTTGAGCACTGTTGGTTGCCCATTGTCTAAGAAACACTTATTTATCAGCTGCACAAGTTTAAATTGGCACCATAGTCAAATTATGAATGATGATGTAGTTGAAAGTGTGCGTGTGTGTGTGTGATGTTGATAAGCAGCAAGGAACTGCTTGCTGACACTTGCAAATCCAACTGAGTTATTTTCTTTTTGCTAAAGTCTCTCGACTTCAGCTGGTGAATGCAACCTCTGGAGTGCTGCTCATCCTGCCCACCATCTTCATTTCTATACATATTTTAAAAATAATTTTTTCCATCCTTCCAAGCCCAGCTTAATTTCCAACTCTCCGTGATTGCTTGAGCAGGAAGGAGACATACACTTCTTCTGAACTCCCCAGTGCCTTGCTAACACCCTTCTTAAGGTGCTTTTCTTATTCTGCTTTGGGGTTGCCTTATTTTCATACTTCTCTCTCCCCACCATCCCTCCCTTAGCCACGCTTTGAAGGCAGAGAGGCTGTGTCTTTTTATCTTTGTATCCCTCATGGCAACCAGCAGCACCATGTCCTCTGCATGGGCACTGAGTGAGAGTTATATCAGGACAGTCTTCAGAATTGGGGTACATAACTGAGTGAAGGCAATGGGCCTTCTCTCTAGTAAAATAATACAAACACTCGTGCACACACAAATTTTATATGTATTTGTAGAGTTTATGGACCCAGTAAAGAATCTCCTGATTTAAACCATCATTTACCTGCCTGGTCAAACCTCTACTAACTAGGCAGCTTGGAATGCATATTTAGAAAGCCCTTGGTGACCTGTAGAGTACGTGTGTGCTGTTTTTCACTGGTAAGCAAACTTCTCGATCAAGTGTTGAGCTACTCCTGCTTTGCACTAACTCCATAAAGGAATTGAAATTCAGAAATTCATAATTTATAAGGAAGTGGTTCCCTTTTTGTCTGCTTAGCCTTATTTCAGAAAGTCATGGGTTGTTAGCTCTAGAATGATCTCAGTGTCCTGCCTGGGCTAAGGATTTGGAGTGCTTACATTTTTAACATACTCCCCTGTGGATTCCAAGGTAAAATCCTTGGTGTTGGGAACCTGCGTTATAGATACACACCACTTTTTACTGGGTGAGACAGCCAAGTTCAAAGAGGGAAAGGAATTTGTGTTAGGCCAAATTCCTAGGTAGTGGGCTGACTAAAGTACATAAAACAGCAACAGCAAGGCAGACTTATCTTCTGCCTAATTGGGAAATAAATTGTCTAGTAAACAGTCATCAAATAAAGCATCGTTAGTACCTGAAATGTTCTATATTTGATGGCCTGATCTGATGGTGTTCTGGGATGTGAATAATTGCCATCAGCGTGCACCAGCAGGCATTTTGAACTTTGCTTTGGCAAAGAGCCCTCAGGGGCTACCATGAATCTGTTTTGAACATACCTATGGATGGGCTGCAACAGAATAGCCAAGGGAACTTGTTGAAAATATTTCCAGGCTCTGTTCTTGGTGTTCCCGATTCCATAAATCAGGACCAGGGCCAGAAATGTGTGTTTTCTATGTCCCAGGTGATTTTTATACACAGCCAGTTTTGGGACGAGTGTTTGGCTTGCTTTGAAATGGCTGGGTACAGATGGAATATATATGCTCACATTTCCTCTCCCCTACCACTTTGATCTCTAATTTTTTTTTTTTTCTTTCTTAGGAGTAGTAGTTAAAAGCAAGGACTTTGGAATGAGGCTGACTTGAGTTTTAATTCTGGCTCCCTGCTAGGTGTGTATTCTAGGACAGGTTACTTAATTTCTGTTTCTAGGCATCAATTACCTTATCTTTAACATTGAATGGATCTTAACAACTCTCTTGTAACAGTATAATTTATGTAAAAGGAAGTGTGGAGTACATGATCAGTAGCTATTATGACAAATACTAGTACTAATAACAGCGAATCAGCTAGGTGCCAGCATGCTTGCTAGGATTTATCTTAAGTATCCGGGTCAGGTTAAGGAAGCCTCCCAGGCCCCGGAGCTTTTAGTGATCTTAAGCCTGTCTTGATAGTCAAACCAGCCTTTGGAATTTGGGATTGTGCCGTGCCGAGGTCCGACTTTGCTGGGCCTTGAGCTTCCTTGAGTTATTCAGTCTTATAGATGATTGCAGAGAGGCGTAAAGTGAGAGTGGTTCTGACTTTGCATTACTCACTATAGAGCGGTGGAGATGCTTATGTACCATAAGTCCTTGATGCAATTTTGCCTCAAACCTACCTTTGCAGAAGAAGAGGGGTTCCTTATGCAACTTACAGCCTATCTTCTAAGCAATTCTGAAAGATTTTAGGTTATGCAAGCTCCTCCCAAACTAGCAAGGAGCCAGGTCTCTCTCTTCTTTAGGACCAGGAGACTTACTGCCTGCCTCTGAGTTCTGGTTTGGGATTGACTGGTGGCTAAGCAACTGTGTGCAAATTTTTTAGCCACACTGTGCCTCAGAGTCCTTATCTAAAAAATTGGGATAAAAACTTGTCCCCAACTGTATTAGTTTCCTATTGTTGCTGTGACAAATTGCCACAAAATTTGTGGCTTAAAACAACACAGATTTATTGTATAGTATCTCGCCTTTTCCAATATCTAGGAGGTGCCTGTATTTCTTGGCTTC